TACTTTCCTCTATAGATTTCCATGTATCTTTGCTTTGTTCAGCTGATTTTTGAACATAAATAAAAATACAAACTGAGATCCTCTGCAAAAAGTGTAGTGAGCCAAACGAACTCGAACAATTCATACATTCAGAACAAGTATACCTTGTATCACAATGAATAATAAACACACATGTACACACACACTAACACAACACATACACATAATTACATAGATATAATTTTTGTAGACAACTTGTATAAGTTTTTTATTTGGGGTGGAAGACGCTGGCAGTTGCATCACAGTTCATACTTCTGCAGCTGTCAACGTGATACCGTGTAAAATTAAGTTATAAGTTGTTATTCTTTTGTAATTTTTATTTAAAGGAATTAAAATAAGTTATTATTATTATTATATATATAAACCACTGAGCTACAACGAGGCAATACAATGATTGACTTTAATAAGTTAAATTCGTTATTGTATAATTTTTGCTCTACCATTAGGCAAACATTTATTTTCTCTTATCCTCAAATTAGGGTAAAAATTAAAGAAATATAACATACGGTTCGTTTGAGGTTTGGTAATGTTTGGTGTAGCGGCAGTAAAATGTTATCGGCACTATTTTTAACGATTCCTGACAGGAAAACGCCTTTCTAAACATTTTACTTTCAGATCTGTACACTGACAGACTAATGACTTACCGGAGTCCTAAACAAACACGGAACAAATAGAAAATTTACCAAGTCAGGTGAGAGTTAGTTTTATAAGGGGCGTATAACACGGCCTTATGAGGCCGTAAGAAGTGGGTAAATCACTATCATTTTGTTTAAATGAAGAAACTACGTTACTACATCATACAACTAAAAATAATAAATGCGTAAGTTTGTGAGTAATTTGTTACTCTTTAACGCTAAAAATATCAAATTACGTAATAAACAAACTTAATTTACTACTAACAATACTAAAAAATGTATTTTCTCCGTTTAAAACGTCGTGCCGACTCGACTTCATCGGGTCCGCGAGGTGGGATGTTAATAGGCTAATTTATGATGATGATAATGATGTTTCTGTTATTCGAAAATGCTTTCTTGCAAAAATATTAGCTATCGCTAGAAGAAGTTATTGAGTGATGTCAGACCTAAATTCAAGTCGACAATTGGCAAGACAGCGGTGGCATGCTTTGGTATTGGAGGCCTATTACAGACCTATGTACCTTAACTAAAGGCAGTGTTATGATAATATTCAATATTTTCACAAGACCATGAAAGTTTTGAATTTATTATACTTGACAGTGATGTGCGCCTTTCCTAAACAATATAATGGTCATTGTTTCAATAATTTATGTTTAATGTTTGCGTGAAATCAATAACTTAAATGTTTAGATTAGTTTGCTTTATTGGCCAAAGGTTATTTTATTATCAACTTCGTTTATAAACATAGAAATGTGCTTTAAACGAGTTGACAAATTAACTCCAATAATTATTGTGGTTGTTTTGCTTATTTTTTCTTTAGACTGAAACATAAAATTAAATATAAAATGAAAATAGAACCCAAATATGTTTTATCTTTAGTTCATATAAAAAAGCAGCTTTTGTTAGACGTCGCCGTTTTTTATTGTCAAGAAAAAATATATACGCTGTCATTCTTTAATCGAACCGTCATTATTAGTTGTTTAAATGAGAGCGATAACTGAAGTTAAATATTTTCTAAAGATTCAAACTGACACTGTGTGGGTGGCATGATGCCGTATGAGGAGTCGTATAAGGATATCTATAGCGAAAGCCAGAGGTGGTCGTCCGCGTCGCTACTCCGGATTGGCAATGAAGCAAGCCGCGCTGATTACTATGCGCGCCAGACCATCCGCAGCCGGCTTTTGTTTGCCGCTCCCATTGTCCTACCAATGCTATCCTGTTCCAATTTTGGAGAGGCAGCTTTTATTACAAAAAAATATATACTACTAAAAGTTACAGTCGGTCGATATATTTCATTCAATTTGATATATTTTTTATGTTATACATATTATGGATAAATAGGTAGGTAGGTACATACCTATTTGGTAGGTGCCTGCTATCGAATTATTCTACTTAAGTATTTTTGTTTCAATTTTGGTCTTAGTATAAATAAATTTTGGCAATGATTTATATACGTGGTTTTACTTTTTTATGTTTTAGATTGATATGTAAAAAAATGTCGATACATTTTTTTTATTTGTAATTATCTAGCATGAAATTAAGGACAAAGAAAAAGCCGTGGAAAATTTCAGTCATTCCTTAATTCAATCTTATTCTGTTTAAACCAGCGTCGAACCACGCTGTCGCTGTAAGTAGATTGTCGAACGCTGTCATAGAAAAAGTTAAATCAAAATAATGCAAAAGGTAATAAAGGTTGTATTTGTAACAGAAAAACAAAACTGACTAGGTGACTGTGTATTATTTAAAATAATTCCTTAATTTTAGAATAGTATCCTTGCAGCCAGTTGCACAAACTTCCATTTAAATTTTCATTAGTTTAAAGTGACATTACCCATACACTATTGACATTCATTAGAGCTTAAAGTCGTCATTACACCTTAATGGACTTCTGTACAACTGACCGTAAGATACATATACATTAAAAAGTCCCTCGACATGGCGTCGGCAGAAATGCCGAAACGCGATAAGCTCACAAACTACCTAACGATTTTTAATCAAATAAACATTATATATATTTTATTTATTATAAATACAATTTAACATTGTAAGTACAAACCAAAAACCATGGTTTGTCATGAATGCACTTCCTGCGTATAGTCATTTTGAAAAAAAAAAACATAACTTTACAGTGCTAAGAAAATTTAAACATATCAAAAACCCATTATATAGCAGGAACCTTTGTGTAAGTATTCTGGTGTGAATCTGTCTTTTGTATTTTTCAAACAAGTGAAATTTCACATTAGTGTCAGAGCACAGCTATAGGTAACTACACAAAGATATGGTTACAATTTTCCTATCACTGGGTAAGCGTAAGTTTATAAATGTTGTATTGCATTAACATAGAGTATGAATTCAAAGAGGAATGATGATGAACGCAGAATTTATTGCAGAAATTAATGCCATCTGCTCACAGTTTCGCTTAATTACGCGCAAATAGAAGTTGTGCAAAGCCAGAGGCGGGAGGCGGGTCATTAGCATGTGATAAAAGTAACGCTTTTGTTAGTTTTATTTGGTATAGAGCAATAATAGTTTTAATGAAATGCCAGTCTCGTTAGTAGCGGGTAGCTCGGTTAGAACAGGACTCGCTCGGTTAGAGGTGTCGTTGTTTCGAGAACTGTGCTATGTTATTCTGTAATAAAATCAGTTCCGAACTCGACGAGCGCAAATTGAAGCTCTAGTAACCCATAATTAGACTGAACCTCTATGCTGGGACAACAACGGTATGCTCGATGTATATTTCAACGCTAATTTAATTACGGAATAGCGCTGCTGGTACTTGAGACTGTTCTTTTAAGTATTTATATGGTAAATAATGTATGTCATGTTAATTCAATATCCTTCAAATAGCACATGCGATAGGCACCAACAAGTATTTTGAAAGACTTTAATTTATAAAAAAGTTTAGTCTCCTAAAGCTTCAAAGGATATAATCAGGCAGATGCTTGTATATTGCATAGCAGTATGTGCTTTGTTGCTGTCGCTTAAGTGGACATGACCATGTTATTTATAAATGAACGAACCGAAAGCGAAAAAAAGGAAGGGAGAGTTAACAGGGTGTGACATTTGCGCCCACTTGTCTAAATCAGAATTTATTAACAAGCTTCCTTTATGGACGGCACAGACTGATTAACTATCGAACATTGACCATATTATAAAAATAAATAAAACTAACGTGCGTTAATAAAAAATGGTACCTGTAAATTGACACTTTTAATTAATTAATTAGGTACCTTAGGTCCGGATCTACAAGTTTTTTGTGCGCCTTTCATTCGCACATATTTTTTATTTCTATATTTTTGCAATGTATAATTTAATTTAGGGATTTTTAAAATATGTCCGTCCCATCGTAACCTATGTCTGAATCATTTTAAAAGATTTGAGTAGTTATCATGATTTTGGCTTCCCCTGATATTGGCACGCAAGTGCCCTAACTTGTCCCCTCCCCCTAGAACCGGGCCTTTCAAAGTTATCTCGACTCAGAAGCTCAAAGTAGGTGATAGATACAGATTCGGTAAATAAAAAGATAATATTTTGCCATTGTATCCCATAGGTATCCACTTTTATTTCTAACCACTAGACGTAAACGGAAAGAACTACCAATAACATTATGGGTTTCGAAGAACGATAAACCGCTTATGAATATATTTACATACAATTTAAATTCTTATTGACAAAAATGTTGTGAATGTTTACATTCGAGGCTAGTTCAAGGTTTCATTTTGTGATACTTCTCTAATACAGAAACCTAATACAATATTATTTTAATTTTCAAAAGACGTACTATAATGCCGAAATAAGAAAATAGATTCAAAGTAGTTTCGCCTAATATCTACTGTTTAACAAGACAAATATAACATACACTGCCTTTTTCATTAGTTTCATAAACTAGCTGCTTGTCATTTGTTAAATTAGTCGATCTGACCAAGCGCACAACTAATAAGATTCGATTTGATAGTTCAACGAACGTAATTCACAAATCGTTTCATCCTAGACCTCAATGAAGATAAATTGCAGAATCTATGTTGCAAGTCTATAAATGGGGTTAATTCAATAACATTTATAAATTATTTGCTATGATAGACCATCCGTGTTAGGTCCCTGGACCAGCCGATGACCACCCGTAATGTTGTTGTTCTTTAGAAAAAAAAAAAGAATAAATTTGCAACATTTTATATAACAATTCGATTTTTTAAAATAAAACGAACGTAAAGTATTGTTCAAAATGAGGCATCCATCACAATTTATTTTTAGTTATGGATAATTGAACTAAAAGTTTAGATGCCTCTTGAAGCCGAATCAAGTTTTATTAATATAGCAAAACCTCACCAGCAGCTGCTGCGCGTCTTTCACTCTTAGTACTGCACTTCCAAAATTTCATTATTATTCAAATAAAGCGTAAAGGTCAACAAGGAACTAGACGACACGCGCGGCCGTTAAGTCAAGGAGTCATCATTGAACTGGCGTCTGATTCGAAACAATGACTAGTGTTTACGATGTTCGTCGCGGCATATTTATTAAATTGCCGAGTGTAGTGGCCGGCTGCAAGTGGGTAATGAGCCGCAACAACACGAATGCGACGATCGAACACCCCCTACACAGTCTGCAGTTGCAACTGCGTCTACATCGGCTACGGAAGGCGTGGGAGACGCGCTGGTCATCATACCTCGATCGTAAACCAGTGCCAATTTAATCACGTCTCTAAAAGAGTGTACACATATTTTACCTTATTTCGTATATCAAACAAAATTTACCAATAGTCAAGGGTACCAGCGCTTTTCAATCTTCTTTTTAATGAACATACCAAATTAGGTTACCTAGAGAATTAAATTAAAACAAAAAAATACTCTTACTTAATAATTAATTTGGTTATGATAAATCAAATAAATGATAACAATTAGGGTAAGTAGGGTAGGTAAGGGGGTAACAAAGAACATACAGAGAATATATTCTTATAGGCTTGGAAATAAAACATAACTTGTAGCGTAAAAAAGTTTAATGTCTATCACATCATTGTCTTCCTACGGTAATAATTTTGGAACATAGATGCCGAATATTATGATAATGGAAATCACTACCATTCGAAGCAAATTAGTCCCAGTTCATTTTGTATCAATATAAAATTTATCATGATTAATCAGTCTAGCGGTTCTTTATACATTAACCATTTTACACTTGAATTAAAATTTGAGTGTATATGCAAACATGAGGGACGCCTGCATAGTAACAGTTTAGTTATTCTGTAATAAAACTAGCACAGTGCTGTCATATATAGATATATGAAAAGAAGGTTCCATGAAGCATTATTACTGTGTAAATAAAGTAAGTTTTATTCGATTGAACCTCTAACCGGTGACAATGCTATACTGGACGAGTTCAACGCGGGTTTTATTATAGAATAGTACTGCAGCACAGATCTGCTTCGAATTTTTGATATTATTGCACTATAAAAATACATAGTTAAGCATAATAATTTCTAGGCACATTTCTGTACTGTCTATGTTTATGATTACACACTTCTATTAGTTACATAAATTACACTATATATCTAACTTAAAATAAAACTGAGATTTTTGTTTTCGACTGAAAAACGTTTACGTTACGATGTAGTAGGCCAATTTTGCTACCGCCACAGCCAGGTTTCGGATAATCGTGATATATTTTTAGCTGCATCTCAAATAAAAAAACTTAATATATTAAGGTAATTTTGTTAATATTCATGACGGTCACAAAATTGTCTAGAAACTACATCTTACGCAAATAAAATATTGTGTAATTTTCTTTTATGTTTAATTGTACATAATTATAATCTAATATTGCTGAATAAATAAATTCAGCACCAAATCATCGAAACGCATCATACTACAAAAGTAATGTGCTAAAACCGCGTTATTTATACGGGAAAATGGTTTAAAAATAATAAAAAAAAAAACTGTGATGAATTGATTGGTCAGTGTTTGAATAGTTTTTTAAAATTGTATATAAATTAAATGCTAAGACGCTATATGTGGATATTGATCAGACGGCATTATTCCGCCTCTGTAATAAGCGTATGGACTATAACTGCCATCTTAGTTACTAGTACGAAAGTTATCCACGAATTGAATAAAACATCATTCGTGAAAGAAAATTTAAAAACAAATAATTAATTTTATAAAATTTTGGCCCATAGTACATTTTTACATATTAGATAATAATGGTTTGACGCCGAATATAATAAAAATAATATAATCTATAATGTAATGTACTTATAGAAAGCTTACACTAATCTTTTCATAAAAAAGTACATTACTGGTTTCTAGAAAAGAAAAAATAATTTACTTTCGTGAAAACACAAAAACATGATTTATATGCGGGTACTTCAAGTTTTCAACGTGATATGTATTAATTTAAAACACGATGTGATCGAACCCGTTGCCACTACACGTAGATATAACGAAAAATGTCTTTCAAAAAGTGTTGTTCTTAAAACTATTGTATTCCTTCGAGAAACCAACGTCTATCACAGAATAGATACATCTATTACAATCTTGTAAGACCTATCCAGCAATCTTATTGGTAAAACAACTGTTTATTCCTGTTTATTTTGTTTATTAAACGCACACCAAAGCTTAATCAAGTTTAACATACTTTGAAGGCACTGCTTTTTATTTTAACAAATTAAGATGGTAAAACACAACGTTGGACAAGACTCGAATATATTCAAGACAAGTGCTGGTAAATATTAACTATTTTTAAAATAGTAGACTAAAAAATTCGTTTCTTGTGCAACATTCGGTGGTATGAAACAACCAGAGTGCAAAAATCAAACTCACACTAGGTATGTTTTTTGTTTGACTTTATAAAAGGCTGCATTTGAATGCAGCCTGTCTTACCGCTCCGTGATTTTTTCTTTCTAAATAGCGATATAAATAATCAATAGAAACATTGAATTATTTTAGACCAAATATTCCAAAACGTTTCCGATATAATATGTATACCTATGTACTTGACAATAGTATCTGGAGACAGTTTTACAGTAGTCTCACAAGGGTTACGCTAAACAATTTTGAAAAAAAATTGTTTTTGGTTTTTTTAACGTTATTCCGTAGGCGCATGTAAAAACAAAGAAATAGATTAGCACGTAAATGGTACGTAAGAAATTAAAAATATCTTTGTCTGACATACGCGGATATTATGTCTCTTACATACATTTATCGATCTACATTATTATAAATCTATGCGATACTAACAGTCTGTCCACTTTATTGCTTTCACATTGAAATACGGATCACATATTACCAAATGGATATTTTTAAATCTATCTAAAAACTTTACTTTATATCGAAAAATAAATCATATACAAAAAGCTTTACTTTCGTTCAAGAAGATACAACTGGAAGTGGAAAATTTCGACAGTTATGTATTAAATTAGGAAGCCAGATTAAAATTAATGAAGTATCACGCCATCGAGCGATCCACCAATATCCACGCGCTTGATACCTGCCGATTTTGTGGACACCTCATTCGATGTATTTTACTCCTTATGGTTATAAAAATAAGACTCACTATAAACTTCTATCGTACGTTCATTCGTTGGGATTGATATGTCTGCGCAAACGAAGATTCACCACGCGCCACATCAGTTAGACCTTACTATCGACTTCCTTTTATCTTTGTAACTGGCTCATGAACCTAATTAAATTTATATTAATACAGGAAAATACTAATCAGTGAACAAATTTAAATATTGTGCTCGGTACCGTGCCATAGTAACGTTTTTCTCTTTTGAAGCTAATAATGTCGGAGATAAAGAAAAGAGATGTAAACTACGTTCATATAGATATAGATGGCTAGATGTTTTCTTTCGACTTATAAAAAAAAAATATCAAGATGTTAATTTATAATAATAACACATTAATATTCAAATGTGAAATAACAATATACATTATTTTTTCTTTGTAAATATATAACGTGTAATATTATTATATGCCAGGACGTCGTGGAGTGGATGAGTTAAGTATATTGAACAAACAAGAAAAAATAATCACCTGTTTCATACAAAATTGTATTTTGAGCAAATAAGCTTTTGTAAACAATGTATTTTTCATATTGAGTGCAATAAAGTATTTTTTTTTTATTATTATTAATTGTTTGTTTGTCTCGCTAAAACTTGAGAAAAGCTAGGCTGATTTAACTGATTTTGATTTTGTTGTTTGTTGTAATCTAGGGAAGGTTTAAGCGGTGAGAGGTGATATGAAGGACACCGGGTCTTTAGTATAAAATAAAATCATACACAAAACATACCTTTAGCCCTTTACCATCAACCAAAATTTCGCAGTCCATCAAGCATATCTCCATCAGAGTTATCTTCCGTTCAATATTAAGATTACAAAATAAACTACATAGCTAGACTCTAAAATACGTCGTGTAAATATGATTAACTCTATACTTACAAATAGTTATCAAATCAGTTTCTCGACCAATACTGAAAAGGTGTCGCTTATTTATTGCCAAAAGTTACTTGCGGCGTCGTTATTTTTATTACTAAGGCAAAACACCTAATTATTGACACGTAAGGAGGAAATAACACAAGAAAACACTAATTGAAAATCGAAATAAAACAAAATTTGTACAGTCCACGAGACCGAATGTATAAGTAAGGTTTAGGTTTTTAGTTAAATACGCAACCTAGATTGCGAAACATATATTTTTCGGTTAAAACCATTAATATATATCAAAGGAAATTCAACTTTTAAGTTTGAAAGATAAAGATGTAACGATACAAAACGACGAAGTAAAAACTAGAGTCCAGTCGTCGAACACAGAGCATTTCGTTAATTAATTAATTAATCTCTTTCACTCGCCCGTATAGATGCATCTAGCCCAAGTCATAATAAAGTAAAACTCAATAGTGCATAGTGTCAGTGTATTTAGGCTTAAATTGCAATTTTTAGTATTATTCTAAATTCATAATATACAGAGACTAAGCAAACCTGCTACCTCTAGGAGTAAATATTACTCCCGTAGAACCTCACACTAGGTTAACCTTTAATAATATGATTTTTGACTAATACTAAGAGCAATTTCAGCGTAAATATACTCCAACACTAAACCTGTTTTCGATATCTAGTAGGCACAAAGATCGACATACGAAATTCTCTGTTCGGTGACTAGACTACACTGCCCTCCCGAGCGTAAAATGCAGCAAAATTTGCGTTTTCGAGTTTTTCATATTGTCTGAAAACCTAATTCAAACCCTACAAGCCAAACTTTTTCTTTTTCTACAAGTAATAATATTTTTTATGTGTCTTTTAAAACCAAGGCGCCAAATTTTGATTCTTTTTTTGAAAATACACCAATATTACGACCTAATACGCAGTAAAACTTTCGATCTTTTAGTAGGTATCATCGCCATCTTTCATTCATTTCCGTAGCAGAGTGGTTCGCACGCCGGTTTCAAGGTGTCGCCATCTCTCGAGGTCCTGGGTTCGATTCCCGGTCGGGTCAATGTAAAAAATGAACTTTTCTATATTGTGTCGGGTCTGGGTGTTGTGGTACCTTCGTTGTCTCAGATACTCCATAATACGGGGGCTTTAGCTACTCATCTTGGAATCTGAGCAATGTATGTGATGTTGTTAAATATTTATTTTATTTTACATGTAAAAATTAATTTATTTACTTGACATTGGCAGAATTGTGCGAAATGCGCGCAGATATTTATTTACTTGATATTGGCAGAATTGTGTAGTGTAGCCATTAATAAAAAAAGAAGACCTACTTACTGCATTTTAGTTAATATAATACCAAAACTGTTGAATATACTGCTCACTTTATTGCATTTTAAAAAGTTTAAATACGACTTAGCAAAAAAAAAAACTAGATGCAGTAACCTGAACTTTGTGATCATAAACAGTGATTTGTTAAAGATACACAACATTTAAACATCATGCGGGTTATTCTGTTTTTTTTTTTTACTATTACTGCAATTTAGGCTCGGGCCGGCAGTATACAAGTGTCACGAAACGAGTGTCAATAATAGGTACAGCCCATTTACACTTTTATGTAAAAACGTGTCCGTCGTGCTGGCAGGGCGATCGTCAATGTCTGTACCAGGCGCCTTGCACGCGCGTCTGGAAGTGCGACACGGGCGTGACGAGATACGCCTGCTGCGGCTGCTGGACCACCGCGAGCGGTATCACCTGCTGTGCCATCTCCACCTGCTGCGCGTTCTCGTCGCCGACGCCCAGCGGCGGCACGCAGTGCTGCTGCGACACCTGCTGCACGCCGCCCACCTGCTGCGACAACACCTGCTGGTGCTGCGACACCTGCGGCACTAGCATCTGCTGCTGCATCTGACCCTGCTGGGACTGCAACACGATATAATTGTACTGACCGCTTCTAAGTAGCTCGAGTTCAGTGTCACTAATCGGAGTAACATATTAGTCACCGCAGACTACAGACTTTTTTAATCAATATGAAATCTCTAATCTAGTATCGGCTGACAAAGTTTGCAGTAAACAACTTTTTTTAAATATTTTATTTTATAATACTCGAACGAGTTATTATATTTGAACAAATTAAAAAAATATTCTTAACGATTTTTTTTTAAATCCTCTGTGTCCTTGGTACCACCAACCCACACAGAGTTCATTTATCATCAAGAATATTTTTTCGTTGTTAAATCTTAGTATAGACTTGATATTATGATATTTGATGGCACCAATCCTAAAATATGTCATAAATAAAAAATTACAACTTAAAACTATGTAATTTGCAAAATCACCTGTTGTTGGTGTATAACCACATGTGGGCCACTCTGCATCTGTTGGTGTTGTTGTACTTGGACCTGTTGTACTTGTTGTTGCTGCTGCTGCTGCTGTTGCTGTTGTTGCTGCTGCTGTTGCTGCTGCTGCTGTTGTTGTTGTTGCGCTTGCTGCTGTGCCCTCTCCTGTTGTTCCCTCTCATGCTCCTCTTTCTTCTTAGCCTCTAAAGCCGCTTTCTTCGCCTCCGCCTTCTCCTTCTCGTGTTGTATCCTAACCGGATCTTTATTCTTATCATAAGACATGCATTTGCCACTTCTGAATGGCACCATCTCTTTTGGTAGATCCTGCTTCTTTGTAGCGAATTTGACGTGAGGAAATTGGTCCTTCATGAAAGCTCGGAAAGTCGAATAGCCCATCAATTTTACACCCGGCTCTAATATCTCTCCGTATTCTTTGTACGCCTCGAATAAATGCTTCCTAGAGTCACCTTGTATTATAACAGTTTTGCTCATTTTTTTGCCATCGCCAGACGGTTGCACGTCTTTGGGAGAGCTAGCGTGCTGTTTTAAATATTCTTTTAAGAAATTAGTTGCATGTTTGTAAATATCCAGAGTGAATGTGTTGTATGGCTTCTTACCAACGTTACCGTGTATCCGAGGTGCAACTCCGTGCGTCATCACATGTTGTCTAATGCGTTTGAGCTGATAATGCGTAACATTTTCAAGGTATAAAAACGCTTCTAAGCATACTTTGCGACCTTGGTAAACATAACACGCACGTAGCCTCCTCCTAACTTTGTGACGGGATGTTTCAGCAGGATTAGCTAAACTGGCCATTGTAATGCCCATCAAGTACATATCGTGTTCACTTTTAGTCAGTTCCGCAATATTTAAACGATGGCGATACACTGCCTCTGGGTTGAGACCACGATAGCAATTATCTTTGCAATCACAGCCCCTTCTGAGCCTCTCCTTGACCTGGAAATATGCAATTTTTATTTAAACAAATGATCATTTTGAATGTTAATCAATAAAAAAATTATCATTATCAGCCCTTTTACGTCCCCACTGCAGGAGCTCACGCTTTCCTTAGGGAAAAATGCTTAAAAAACTCACTTCGCCCCTGGCACTCTGATATGGGACTCAAACCCATGCAATCAAATTTTAATTAGTATCAATATTAAAGTTAAGCACATTTCAAACTTAAACTTCACTTAAACACGTTTTCATTTCTGATTATAGATTTCTAATGATTAGTTGATAGAAGTTTGATAGAAACTAGGAGTTTTGCCTTGTGAAGATTAAAAAACTTGGTTTATTGAGAATAATCAGTTGAAATTTTATTCTTTCCTCAATTCAGAAACCACCCATTAGAATGTCATGTTATGTCACCGCAAAGCCTAAATATCTTTACTGAATATTTAGTTGAACCATAATATGTAATTAATTAATTGATGTTTAGTAAATTTGATTATGCTAAATTATATAAAATAGATAAATCACTTTTGACATTGGATATTTATGTACAGAAGACAAACATTGAATTATCGAGAACATCATATGAAAACATGATATTGTTCTAGTCTAAGACAGTTTTCAGAAAGGTCCACAAGTATATGAACAGGAGTCTGCAGTCCTTAGTAAGGTGGATGATCACCAATGTGATTTACATTTTTACTAATTGTGAAGTAATTTGCTTTTTTTATGGCAAGGGATTGAAATTGTGTTTTATTTCCTAAGGGTCTTTTTTCTAGGAAATGTTAGGCTAGGCTAATACTCTATAAGGCTTGGAATCAAGCAGTGGAAACATTTAAAAGCTTATGATGACATGACATACAAAGGGGCTATAGAATAAAACCATTTATTTTTTTAATTGATACTATCACACTTGATGAAATAAAATCATCCATCCTAACTCTTTATCAATGAGCCATTTTGTTCCAGTGTAAATTTATATTCACCTGTAACGGATTATCTTCTAACTTGTTGTCTAGAACTTCTTCATCACTATCAGAGTCAGATTTCTTCTTCCTCTTTATAGTCTTTTTCTCAACTTTAGGTTTTGTTTCAACATCTAAATCCCCTGTGTCTCCTTCGACATTTGGTTCAAACTCTAAAGTATATGAAGTTGACATAGTTTGCATAGTACCATCTCCATTCTCAACTTGTATTGTATGTCCTTGCCACAGAACCTGAAATATATAAAAATGTTGCACAATGAAATAATTTGATTTACCAGAAATTCAAAATTATTTACTTAAAATTAATTATAAAGGGTTTAGCCGGATACGTATGACGAGTCGGCCCCCAAATGGGAATCGATATTGAAACTTATGTTTTAATATCGACTTGATGTTCAAACACGATTTATGTACTTTTCGCGACCGACTTCCGCTTTGACCTTGAGATAGAGAGCAAAATATCCGTATGCTTGACTATTACTGAATGTGATATATCTCTGAAGCTAATTAAGATAAAGAAGTGAAACTAACGCGAGGTGTTAGGTTACATTACAGAGTATATCACATATATTTTTTTATAATTTTTAGAATAAAAAATTACATTAAAAAAATAAAAATAAAAAATATCATGTTTTTTTTTCTGACTTCTCTGTGACTTACAATCACGAAATTAATATATGTTATGCTCCTTTGTATGCTCTATCACCCATAAAAATTGCGTGAAAAAAAAGTTGGTGCAACACAACGGAAAAAAATTATATGTGATTCGCGCCTTGTAGTGTGAGTGTATAAACAAACAAGTTCGAACTTGTTATCGAGCTGTTTACTGCATCGTTTGTTTAGCTAAAGTAGCAGTCATTTGTATTACACAAGAAGGCAGTTTGGGACTCAAATTCTGTCATAGGTATTTTGTATCAGCATTTTGAAATTATTAACTATCGAACCAAATCATTATTAAGTAATAATGTCGAGAAAGTGTAAAAATTGTAACAAGTACCTGTGTAAGATTCCAGGAGACCAGGATAACCAAGATAACCAGGAGGTTATAAAAAAATTATAAAGAATGAAGAAGAAGCTAAAGTGTTTAGTGACTGTTTGAATAAAATCGTAATAGTTAATGATATTTTTTGTAAGAAGTGTCGACTTATCCCATATATTAACAAAAAAGCTTCTACTTCTAAATGTGCAGCATTTAACTTGGCCGAAATAATGGACGATCAAAATAATCTCTCAGTACAATATGTGAAATCAGCACCTAATATCATCAAAGCAGAAGTAAAATCAAGACATATAAATAGAAAAGTCTATCGAATTTACATTCACTATATTTCCGAAGGTAATGACTACAATAGTATTCTTCGTTATTGCTGTGATTGCCCCAATGGCAAACGTACAGTGGGATGCTGTTCTCATGTAGCAGCTATTATTTATTATCTATCATATGGATGATATTTGTCCAAAATCGTACGTCCTGCTGAGGTCCTAACTAAGTTATTTGCGACTCAAAGTGTTCCGATTGTAATTAATTACAACAGTGACGATGATTAATATTTTGTTTCTTGTATTTTGATAGACACGAAAAAGTAATAATAATGAGTATTGAATACTGGCCGTTTTTTTTTTTCATTTCTTTTTTAACTATACCATCTCTTAAGACTAGTTACTTATGTTTTAAAACAAGCTGATGTGAAATTTCGAAAAAAAAACAATGATGTAATGTGAAAACCTTATAATACAGGGGTATACCATAAGACAGAAATCACATATAATTTTTTTTCGTTGTGTTGCACCAACTTTTTTTTCACGCAATTTTTATGGGTAATAGAGCACACAAAGGAGCATAACATATATTAATTTCGTGATTGTAAGTCACAGAGTACTCAGAAAAAAAAACTTGATTTTTTTATTTTTTATTTTTTTAATGTATTTTTTTATTCTAAAAATTATAAAAAAATATATGTGATATACTCTGTAATGTAACCTAACACCTCGCGTTAGTTTCACTTCTTTATCTTAATTAGCTTTAGAGATATATCACATTCAGTAATAGTCAAGCATACGGATATTTTGCTCTCTATCTCAAGGTCAAAGCGGAAGTCGGTCGCGAAAAGTACATAAATCGTGTTTGAACATCAAGTCGATATTAAAACATAAGTTTCAATATCGATTCCCATTTGGGGGCCGACTCGTCATACGTATCCGGCTAAACCCTTTAATTATTCAAAATTAATTATTTAATTATTTACTTAATTGCTATGTTTTTCTAAGTCACAAACTCATATTATATTCACATTTAAGAGGCTGGTGAATAAATTCAAACTTGTTTATTAACACAAAAGGTGATGATTTTTTCTCAAAAGAAATTAATAAACAGCTTTATAAACTACATTGTATCAAATGTCATCAAATGAAAGGGCTTTTTGGGGAAATCTCTTAATTTCTTTTTAAAAGGTAAAATTTTCACCCTATCTTTGAAACTACAGCACCCAAAAGTATGAAAGAAAATATGTCTTTACCCACAGATTATAGGAAAAATTAAATGTTTAAAAAAGTAATATCTGTGTGAAATTCTCTGTGCACAAGTCTAGCTTGGTCTCAGGCTGTTTTCATAGACTTTCAACGGGACAAATGCATTTCTGTACGAAGAAGCAAATTTAGAAGTCTGAATATTTAAGAAAGAGTGAATTGAGTAAAAATCTTTTGGAAATGTGTAGTCAGCATTTGTTCACCGGCTTCTTGTTTGTAATATAAGCAATCTTTTTTAATTCTCAGATACTACATTTTCACTATTATTACATTAGAAAAAGCTTTTATTTCTTTGAGATTTTTTTTAGATATTAGCCTAACAAACCTGTTCTTGGTGTCCATTGTAGTGTTGCTGTTGCATATTCTGTGGAGCACCCATTTCAAATACAGAATGTTGGCCCATGACCGGTGTATGCCATTGTGCACTTTCGCCATATTCGCCACCACCATTCTGGTCCGAAGGTATGGATACTATGATAGCCTCCTTACTGTCCACACTACGGCGCTCCACGGATAACAACGAATGCAGCACCTCACTCGCTTCCTTCTCAGCAGGATTCACCACTTCCATTTTTTCAAACGACATGTTCACCGCTCCACGCTCGCTACAACCGATCGTTCACGTCAAATCACATGTACCTACATACGTGTATGTACAAAGGCGACACCTCAAGCCCGCCCAGGATTCTATAAAATTATACAATCCCAAGACATAATACAAGAAAACCGCGGAGAACTTTTCAAATTCATGTAAATAAACATAACAAAAACCGCGCAATTATTAACCTTAATCGCATTTTTTAAGTTTCATTATCGCATAGCGGATCGAACTCCCGTGGAATATTGGGCCATATAGTCATAGCAAAGGAAGAATAAAACTCACCTTTTTCCTCTTATTTTGGAGTCTGGGACACTTAAAAACGTATCCCCGGGGATAGTTATTCTATGTGGTTCGTTTTATTTCACTTCATTTCGACATTGCAGTCATAATTAGAGAGAAATGCACAAATATTTCACTGAATTCACGGAAGCAATATGGCGATACACTTTCCGTGAATAAAATCGGAGGACGCCGTAGAACATGTAATTAGTACAGTGCGCTGCCACGATGGCGCCAGTTTCGCATTTCCGATCGAACGACGCAAGCCGAATGTATTCGCGCCATTTTTTGAATTACTAATGAAATAATAACACTGGTAATGTAATTAAAATTAAAATACAAATTAAATATGGTAAGAAAATATTTGTTTATTTAAAAATTGTGTTTTGGTACACAAATGTAAGATAATAATTGTAAAAAGTACGACATTTTTTTAACGGATGTCATTTCCTGTATTAGGTATGTAGTATTTTACTGTTATAGTGCTAGTCTTCAATATTTCTTTAATTTTAAAGTCTGATCCTGCTATTCCTTGTTTTGGTTATTTATTTCATTCAAGAAATAAGTAAGTATAATGTAAATATTATTTTACGTACATAAATAGTAACTTTTTTATATTGAAAAAAGTACATAACGCCTCTCTACTCTTCGCTTCGCCGTCATAAGTTTATTAAAATTATATTCCAATAAAATATATCTTTCAACAAAGAACAAAACTTATGCAATTAGGTAAGTGTAGTGTAGTAAATTCTAGTGTTTCCTTTATAAATTTGGTGTACTGTAATTAGGAATAATAATAATAATAACATAAATCGTTCTTACGATTAGGTAACTACAAATATATACCTAGAGATTTTACAATAATTGGTTGCGCTTCGATTAGTCAATAATTGAAAAATAAGATTAATTAAAGTAAATACTTAATACACAGTGTGTGAACTTAGTGCTGCTAGGGTTTATTTAGAAAATCTTGAAATATTAACTGTCAACAGGATAGTGAAATACAATAGCGGATGCTAAAAAGAGGGTCGGCATCGAAGTGGAAATATTATTAAAGCCAGACTTCACCAGGACTCACTCCCCATGTACTTATTTTATTGCAAGTAAATGTTCACCTATTAAATGTGTGTGTAAATGCACTTGAAGAGAATTTTAGTACCAAAATGCTTTAAAGATACTTATTTTTGTATTCGCCATTCATTTATATCTACGGACAGATTGATGTTAAATTTTTCGTTCAACTCGTTTCCGTTACACATCCGCCAGTTAGTTTCCGAGGACAATGTCCTGATTTAGAACGGCAAATAATAGAGGAATGCTTAAGATAATGATTCTGTTTGTTGCTATTGATTTAATTTTCTCCATTTTCCATTTCACCGAACTACCTATAGATATCAGTGTTCATTAAATTCATTTTCTACGTTACAGTAAATATGCCTTATTTTTATTACTTTTTTAGTGTTTTCCGCAGATAACCTTAACAGTGTATACGGGTGGGTACTAATAATAAAATTATCTGTGGTGACGAGAGAGAGACAAACATGACAGACTAGAGAAAGTGGTCGAGAGTGAGATATTGTATGGATTCACATGAAAAAAATAACATTTGAGTGTAGGAAAACGTATCTCGAGTTCGTCATGCTACGCGGGCCGGAGAATTATTACTAGCGTAACTTGCCTGATCTAACGTGGTTGTATGTATTTACATCCCACTACCCAGTCCAGTCAATCTTAAAATTAGTTGGCATTATTTTTCCGACATCTTTAACAAAAATCATCATACTTTTAGCAATTTACACAAAGTCATTATATTATAGTATAAAGAACCTCAACATTCCTATACCAAAACCTCCTTCATGAATTACCCTGTCCACTGGTAAAAAAGTCATCCGTTCAGTTGAAATCAATTAAATGAATATGTACTTTTTCTGTTCTAGAAGAGATGAAGTAATAAAAATATTTATGCCGCTAAAATGATCTCAATTATTTATAAACACTCAGTATATACCTTCTCAATAATTTACAAACAAAACGAGTTACCATGTCGAATATACTATTCAGCCTATGTAGTTTGGCTATTAAATAAACTTGTCAAAACATGACAAATAATGAGGTGCGACTTGTTCCAGGAACAGAAAGTAGGAAGGATTGTGTTTTGTTTTTATTAATGATAGTTAACTTTTAATGCATCTTATTGATGTATTACATTTGGTTGATTATATATATTACTGTGATAGCTTAATATGGCTAATAAATATTATTTATATTCAAATTTAGTGTAGGTTGTTATAATTTTAGTTCCTGAATATACACTAATACATTAGATACTTACTTCAATTTACCTATGTTACACTAAATTCACCTATTTCAATTTACCTACGTAAATTATATGACATGTTTCGGTTAAAAAAAAAAATTTTTAGTGCAAATTAAAATTAAATTATTTGTTTTTTTTCTTGTACAATATTTTTTCGTCAGTTTCTAGAGAACTGGTACTTACCAACTGCAGTATCCAATGTGAAACAGCTACTTCTAGATCTGACTACGGCGCCAGGTGAAGTTCCGTCAGGCCATTCCATACGTTCTTCCATAGCTTTCGAAGCACTCCTCCTGAATTGCTCTAAGAAACTGTCTATTTGTGTTTCTAAACTTGTCGGAGAGCTGGCCATCGTTTCCACCGAAACACCAAAAACAAACACAACACGCTAGTTTGCCGTTTAATACATTTTGCGCTTTTATTATTCTGTTCTTGTTTTTCTACGCAATTATTTTAGGTAATAAAGAGCTCCAGTAGCACGCGTTAACCCAGCTCTTTTTTTCATATTCGTGCCGAATCTTCACATCGAATTTACTAGGAAATATATAGACACCGCGATCCGCAGCGGTCTACGAAAGAAACTATTCGATAACGCAAGATCTTACTACAGATACCGTTGTAGGGCAACGAAAATAAAGCGACACCCACCGACATCTATCGATCGCTATCAACAGCTGTTTGCATGAAGTTGCCAGCTTATGCATTCACTGGAATCAATAAATTAATATGGCAAACTTTACTTTTACATTGCAATTTTTTGCTTTTGCTTTATATATATATATATATCTTAGTTTATTCTAAGTTTATCTTGTTTTGTTTATTATAATATTTTATTAAGCTTAATAAAAATTGATTGCTTTAACGCGCATGCATCAATTACTTTTACTTGTGTGATATGAGTATCGTCATGCACTGTCGTCATTATAGTGTAGTTACATTTGTGTGAGTGAAAAACAGGCGGGTGAGAGGGGTCGAGCCGGCTACAGCGCACGCTGCTTACATTTGCTAGTGCTGCGCGAAGAGCGCGCGTGGTTCGTGATATCAGAGGTGACTTAGAACTGTCACGCAAGACATAACACCCGGCCTCATAATGTCAAGTAAGTTAATTCATGGTTTTGTACTTCCATATAGAAAATAATATAAAATAGTTAAGTAATTGATAGATAATTAATAAATAAATAAAGTATACATAAATGAAATCTTTTGAATATTTCGAATTCTTTAGGCGATTCCATTAAAATAACGTCGTGGGTAGATATAATTAATGTAAAGTATTTTTATTACCAGTAAGCAATCACATGATGAAGTATTTTTCCTTTTTTTGATAGACCAAGCTCTTTTATATAATTTTCATTAAAACGAAATCAAATAAACAGGAAGCTGTACAGAAGTATAGGTAGGTATCTATAATTATGGTGTTCTTAACGATAAATAAAACCATAAATTAATTTGTAAATGAATTATATTTTAGAGTAATTAAATCTAAGCAAGTGTTGAAAATATCAACAAACAAGTATAGGTAACTGTAGTAAGATAATATTAACTATTTAAATATCTACACAGTAGTTGTCTATTGAATTCATTTAAATACTAACAAAATTAAAGCACGCGCAACCTTGAATTTTATTTCGAATATACTACCTATGTATATTTTTGTTGACACTTATTATCTAACGTATTTGCGTATAATCTAAATACAAGAATTTATGAATTAATCAAAAATATGATTGTCGTCTTTTACATTCGTTGTATCATCCAGATTGTAAACAATCGATTGCTATCTACTTGCTGAAACCCATAAACAGCGAATCTATCAGTATTTTTTTGCGTTATCGCTCTTATAAAGTCTACAGTAATACCATTTTTATCTTGAGCGCGTAAAATAAGCAAAGTACTCACTTAACATTAACGTATACTTTTAACGATAATTAATAAACTTAAAAATTACTTTTTACATGCCATTTGATACTTCTGAGATAATAGTTATGAAATAAATATAACCGAGGATTTGTGGTCAATATATCAGATATTCTATATTAGCCGCGAAGGTTCATTCGACCTGCTTGCGGCTTTGTTCTATTAGATATTATTTACTAGTGCTTTATTATTATTTCTTATTTTCATAATGTCATGACATGAGTAATGATGAGCCAATAACTGTGCTTTTAAAAAAGGTAACATATTTTTTTTACTTAAAATATGTCTATTGGTATATTATGTGAAACTTATTTATATAAAATGTATAAATATATTTTAAAACACTAATGCAGGCCATTTTAAATATCTAAGCCCCCTAAAAATAAATATAAATTTTATAACAGTTGCAGTTAGCATTAGGCAATAATACTCGTAATATGCTATAACATTGTGAATGCAAATTTGATTGAATAAAATAATTATTTTCCTCTTGTTAGTTATGATGATGCCTTTTTTCCTTTCAATATTATTTTCTGTTAATCTAAATTGGACACAGAATACAGTTTTTATTGACTGTGCCATTTTTGAGGCCCTTATTACCGTAACCTGAATATCTGAACAAATAAACCAGCCTAACTTTCGCACACAACCTAGAAACAAACGCTATTATATTTTACACCATTCTATACTCAAATACTTACCACCTCAAGCAAGTTTGAATTAACAAATAACGTGCTCGAGTATTGTGTAGATTTAGAAAGTGTAAATTTCAAAGAAGAAATTATTTGCTCGATTGCCCACTAAACTGTTTGCATGCACACAGTTTTAATATGATAAAAAGATGAAGAAAACAATAGTCGCGTTCCTTTATTTCGTTAAATGGACGACTGCTCGTCTGTTCCATCCCGCCGGACCGGCCGCACCTAAATAGAATAGAAACCACAGGGACATTGCTCCCTGGCGTTGCCGATCCTGCGTCTCTTAGCATTCAAGTGCCTTGTTGTAATGCCTTTAGCCTTGCAATAATTCGTACAAACGAGTTTCAAATACATCAATGATTGAAATAAAAATACATATTATTTCAATCGATATAACGACACATGCTGGTGCCAGTATTCTATATTGTTTTTATTGGAATTCATCCACGAGGATGTTGTGCAATTCATTATATAGCCCTGAAAAATCGATTGAAAAATATTATCTAGCCATTAACACGATCGAAAAAACAGCAGGTGTGAGTTCCGGAATATAAAATATAACCTCGAGTGTTAACGATGAGAATGTTGAGCCAAAAGTCTTATTAGATCCACATTGAAAAGAAATATAGCTACCCTATGATCGAATTCAATCACGATTAATGATATCTCCACGCCCTCTCTACTTTTAATTGTTGTGATTGATCGTTTATGATCCTAAACTAGTCTAACTAGAGATAGATAGAACTTCATTGCATTAGTAATGTTAATGATAATGTTAGGTCCAGCCAAGAAGAATATTTATAATTACCTACAATGTATAACGAGATAAATCCAAAAATATTTTCAATTTACAATAATTATACATTTTTATTTTGTTTTGATTTGTTAGGTTGTAAAATAGTTTCAGCGCAACTTTTAAAAGTGAAATTATTAGTAAATATTACTGCAGATTTTCCTAAAACGGCAGACACCTGCGTCACGTCTGTGTCAAAGTCAATATGTACCCATGTTTGTGTATAACGAATTCAATTGAAGATGACGTTTCCTCGTCTCGCAGGCATGTTCAGTATCATGTCACCGCCATTGGTGCGAGCGATCGCAAAGACTGATTGAGAATTCAGTCAGAGAATATATAAACATGTGAATGTGACGAAGGCACGCCGTATGTCTGACGCTATCTACTAGTTTTATTTTCAATTTTATTTGTGTCGTGCTATTTTGGAGCAGAACGTGCGGCACTTGTCTATTACAGTGAGCTGTGTATATGATGATGACCCACGCCGCTTGCTTGCTCACTGTTATATTTTCGTAAATATTTGACTAAGAACTGCAGTAACTCTTATGGAATTTGCTGAAGAAATACGGAAATAACATTAGCAAAATGTCAAACAAATTGAGTCTCATTTGTTTTTTTTTTGACGCGTTCTATATCTGCCAATAGCCATTATTGACAGCACGAGGAGTAATGTGTATATTTCTGTGGCGCCAACACCAAAGGCACGTGCCAACAATAGCTGCGCAGGAAACAAGGAGCAAATAGTCGCACGAGTAAGATGAAACTGCGCATTTCCTAAGTCGCCTACAGATTATCGCAGCATAAATTAACTAACCGAAATATCATTTTGCGTAATCCAGACATTAAAAACTATATTCTCCAGTGATTTACGCTGTTGGCTGCCAAAACCTGATTAGATTCACGCGTTATATAAATGTATGATATATTATATCTTATTTAATCTAGTACGTCGTCACCATATTGTGAGTATGAAGTTATTAATGTCGAAACGTCATATATCTCATCAAGTCTTTTAGGATTGGTATCTACATAAAGATGGCATAGTTGCTATACTTTGTAAACTTTATTTCGTTTAAATCCGATTATCATTTTAATATTTGTAATGCTAAGCCCACATTGGTCTAAATATTTAACAATATATTTTCCACTTTTCGAGGAATTAAGATCGATAATAATAATTAATGTGACTGAAGTTCTTTTATTTTGATGGATCTTTGTACAACACTTCTCTTAACCTCTACCGACTAAGTTTAAGCCGATCTTACGCACCAAGGATTCCGCACAAATATGATACCTCTCATAGGTTCCCCACTCTTTTACACAGAGATGTGCTCCATTTTGGTCTCTTTTTTAAGTAATTTCTAAACCTAGTGTATAAAACTATTTATCAAAAAACAATAAATTATATAGAAATTTACAAAATAACATTTTCCTTCGATCTACTAAACGACAAGAAAAAAAAACTCCTTTATGGGACAGATAACTAAAACAGGAGATCTGGACAGATACATACATTGATACACGTGATCTTATAAGGGTTCGCAATGGAATTATAAAAACAGTTCGTTTAGATACCATAGTCCTTGATTATGGAATCACTGAATTTTAGGTATTATTTATACAAAAATTTTGCAGTTATTAGCTTATAAGAAATAACGTATTATAGTATCTACCTTGAACTTTGAATTTAATATAACTCAGACTCGTTAGTCACTCACAGTACATTGCACTGCACTTGACTATCATCACGAGGCGCTGCCAAATGGCCGTATATAAATTAGTGCAGTGATAAACAGGTGTCATTTGTCTGCAGATAAAGCATGGGTGACTCTGGCTACGAACGATTCCTACGGCCTCGGAGCTTTGGTGCTGGCGCATTCTTTGCGCCGTGCCGGCTCCATTTATCCAGCTGCGGTGCTCATAACGCCATCAGTCACTGAGGCGATGAGGTTAATGGGGGCTTTAAGTTTCCTTTATATCTATGAGCTGCAACAATCCTTCATCATTATCATCACTGGGAAAAAAAGCCAAAATCTAGTTAAAGCTCAGTGCAAATGATAAAGAGTGTCAAAACTATGGTGTCAACGACTGCAGAATGGCTTAAAGTGTTTCGCAAAGCACGAAGGAGCTGTTTTGGTCATGATGCGAATTGCTTAACCTTCGCACATGCACAGAACTGAAAAATGTCTTCAATAATTTATATATTTATTACATTACAAAGGAATTATGCTATCTTTAAAATTATTTTAATAGATTTTCTTATAATAAAAATGTACCCACTGTACTCAATCGTGTGATAAGTTTTGTCATTTGCAGGTAAATATAATATGACATTTAGTAAGTAATGAGATTGCTTCTCCGATAAAATAAACCTCAGCTTGAATAAGAAACTCACCTCCAAACTATTAGTGATGATGGAAAATTATTTTACACACATGGACTTAACAAAAAATTCTTTTGATTTTGTAAATTTCACCGTGCAATGTCCTGGTATAACGCCAGACCATTTCAGTGTTTTTAGATTCCATGCTTTTCTGCTATTATTTCGAGCACTCAGTCTTCATTTAGCACCTTTTTTGATCGTGAATTAGTTTTATACCTTAGAGATTTACATTATCTAAAGGGCCTTTTAAAGATCCTTTTTTCGTATAGGGTTTAATTGAATTACTGCATCCACAATTTTTACCACTGCTGGAGACTGATTGCATGAGTACAATAAATTTTTCGTCATCTATATTGTATTGTTTGATGCTAAGATAAATTAATCATTTTGATTATTTTCCAAATTTCCATTAGTTTGAAGTTTAGCGTAACCTTAACGCTGCAATACAACTTCAACCTAGATTTTTTATTCCGCACGCTTTAGTTATAAAATACCTACAATTAATTAAAATCTATATTCAAAACTTACGCTGCCAAAATAAAAAAAAACCAAGTAACAGAACTTATGACCCGATTAGGCAGGTACGAAATATTCAATTATATGTATTTTATATGTTACTCTTTGATTAAATCTGCAGAGAGCGCCTTCGTGCAGTGTTTGCGGAGGTCGTATCAGTGGACGTTTTGGATTCACGAGACGCTGCGCATCTGGCGCTTCTACAGAGGCCAGAGCTTGGAATTACCTTCACCAAGATCCACTGTTGGGGTTTAACTCAATACGAGAAATGCGTATTCCTTGATGCTGACACATTGGTAAGAAAGTTTTCAGCAATGATACTTAAAGATGGATGAATGGACTTAAATGTATGGATAGTACTATCATCTACATAAACTATAAGTCGGTGTCGGTTAATTAGATCAAATGGTGTACTTTTGGTTCAGTTGAAGAAACTTCACAAGTGAAATGTGTGCTTCATACTCTGATGTGGGCTTAAATGTAAACTGAAACTATGTCAAAATGTTTTAATGCTATGTTAACACATCTTGTGACCACTTGAGGCCAGAGGTCCAGTATAATGATTCTGTTGCTTGGCATTAAATGAATTTTAAATAGGTATCTGATAAATTTAAAAATAAACTTCAACTTCCAGAATTATGACTCATAGTTTGAAAGAAGCGATTAATGTAAATATCACTAAGTATCTACATAACTTATGTAATTTTTGTGTTATCTTAATCCTTCGAAATAATGTTCGTTATGTTATAATCGAATGTCATTTGACCGACACCATTGCGTTACTGTAAAATCATGTTGCTTGACTTGAACACGTGCTGGCAAAATGCTCAGAAATGATTACGATATCGAATGTTTCCGCCCCTGGCATGCTATTGTGTCACTCACTCGCTAATAAATTTCCTTGTAATCGTAAGATCATTATGACCATGTTTGACGTTCGTACGTTAACATTGCCGTCGATCTGTAAGTATAAAGAACTATTCGAATTAACCTGTTATTTTCGTACGGATTATTGTATCTTGTTGCACGTGTATGCTATTGTATAATATCTTTTTACTGATAACCTTTAGTTTGATTGTCAATTTTGTCTGGTTTTAGCGAATAGGTTACAAATATTATCTAAAAATTTAGCAGAGTCTAGAATGGTGGGATTCAGACGTAGCTGTAATAGATAATGAACCCGAATAAAACTACTAAGTCAAAACAAACGTAGTTACATTATTTATCTGTCAAAAACACACCCACTAAAAAGTGAGTTCTGTTACGTATGAATACATGATAGAATCAACAAACTGAATAAATGTACCAAAGAAAATATACATATGAATATTCGCGTATGTTTTGCTTTGTCTATACAAACATACCGATCGATCATTAAACGATGTTTTTGTCATAAAAAACTATTTCGAACATCAATTGTTTACGCTGCGAGAAAGTCAATGTTACCGGATGTAGACTTTAAAACAGTAACACGAGATGACGGGACGGGACGCATAACCGTGGCCTAAATACTTATACGTGATGATTTTGGACCCGCTCCAAGAATCCTACACTTTCAACGTATAGTATTCTTTCCCATGTAATCTCGTGAATATTATAACATTCGTTAAACTACACTCTAATTGCTGTGCATGCATAAATGATAGCAATGTGAGTGAGAAATAATTATCCAGTGCATATACCTGAGTCTGCAAAATATAACATATTTTGGAGGGGGCCTTAACTTAATCTATTTTAAATGGGATGATAATATTTTAGATAATTTAATGGTGAAAAACAGGTTTTTATTTACCATAAAAAGTAATTTTCTGAATTAGCTCCTGTTTTCTAGAAACTACTCTATAAAAAGGCAATTGTGATTTGATATTGAGTCCAAGACACAAATCGTGGTTAAAAATTGGGCAGCTACTCGAGTTACTTACCTAGGAAAATATTACTTTTAAAACTCTATAAGATAAATATACACCACACAGATGTCTTTGCAAGCCTGATTGAGTATGAGATTTGATTCAGCAAAAATCCTTACTGTCCGCTCTAGAGACTGTGGAATATATAGCCAAATTATTATTTTCTGATTATGGCTGTAAGAAACGAAGCTTGATAATCTGGTACCTCAGTAAGCTCTCAAGCTGTATCTATTAAGCTGTTAAGCTGTGTCTATTAATTCATTCAATTTTCCCAACTTGGTATGGTCTGCGTAAACGCTTTTGGTTATCTTTTTAATGCAGATAAGGAAATCTTAACTTGCGTCTAAAATCTCAAGAACTACTAGAGGGCAATAATAAAGTTACTAAATTTATTGTTGCCTTCTGCATGTTCAATGGTTTTATATTAAGTATAACCAAGAGTACGCCTATTTCAATATTCGACTAAAGTTGTTCCATTTAATGCTTTAGTTTTTTATTTGAATTGGCCCACCAACAATCATGAATATAGTTTCTTGATTGGGATTCATTAAATTCCAGTACATTTTTATCATAGGTTATTGTGTCAACTAAGACTTTATCTGTACCAAGATAACCAGTTATTTCTTTCAAATATTTTGCATTATCCGTGTTCACGTCAATTTTACCTAATTTCGTCAAAAAGTAGGTATTCGTAGGTCTATTTTAAGTAAAAATTCGATTTATTCGTTATCGTAATGTTACTTAATATCCTAGCCTACAATATTAACATCGTCTTACGAGAATTATCTAATCTTTATTCACGTTATTATAAAAATAAGTATAGGTCACGTCGTCGAGTCGTGTAATACGTCTTGTTAACGGAGTCACTGTCAATGACCAGCATCAGAAACATGAATGCTATTTATGAATAATACGAAATCACCGGAAGTGATATGGATGTTCTGAAGATATTTTTACATGTTGTTGCAATTTTGTTTATTATACATGATATTGTGTATACTTCTATGCAATTTGTCAATCTTCGACTGTTTAAATCCTCAATTGACTTAATTGTATCCACCAGATAGTGCAAAATTGTGATGAGCTATTTGAACGTGAAGAGTTGTCAGCGGCACCGGACGTCGGTTGGCCCGATTGCTTCAATTCTGGTGTTTTCGTCTACAAACCCTCACAGGAAACCTTGGAACAACTTATCAAGTTTGCACAAGAACGCGGAAGCTTCGACGGTAAGTTGAATCTGAGAAATATGAAAGTTTCAATTGGTTCTTTCTTAGGTGTATTATTTGGACAATTAAAGTTCTTTATCATAATATAAATACAACGTATGTTAAGAAATATAATTTATGTAACAGTGAAAAATATAAACTAATTATTATATTTGATTAATTTTGCCTTTACAATGATATTCCTAAATTCATCCCTCAAGAATAACATAAAATATTTACAAATGCTTCTACCGCTTTTTGTATTGATTTCAAACTGTGCCACTTTTACATAACAATCCAACCTTGCCCGAAATAAATGAGTTCACCCCTCAAATGCCAGGAAGTAGTACAATGCCTACAAGTTAATTAACATGCGTTGTAATCAATGTGCTTTTGATATATTCTTAATATAGTTTCCAGTATAGCATTGTGAATGCCAAAATGATCAAATTTAATAGTGCTTTTGGTATGTTTTTAAATCGTCATTAGCAGAAAATATTGCAGATTGGAATAAGCCTTATTATAATAGTTGTAGTTACGTACTAATTATTCTTCCGAGATTTTATTAATTATAGAATGTTATATTTTTTTTTTGCTTTAGGCGGTGACCAAGGCCTCCTGAATTCTTTCTTCTCCGACTGGGCACAAGGTGATAGCAACAAACGCTTACCTTTCCTATACAATGTGACATCAGCCGCATTCTACTCTTACCTTCCTGCGTTGAAACAGTAAGTCAATATTTTATGTGAATTACATAATTTATATAATATTTTATTTCATTTCTAAATTATTAAAAAAATTAATGAAATAATAAAAATCGTTCCAATGAGAATTTAGAATTGCATTATAATAATGCAGACAGAATTATAATGCAGAATTTATAAATAAATGTATATTAAAATAAAACCGTTTTTTAAAATTTAACTTCACAATAAACACATGATGATCCATATCTCAAATTTTAGAACTTAGTTAAATCGTAGTGGTCTTAACAATATAATATTTCAGTGGTACCTACTTCATGTGATAAATCGTTTATTTATCGTTTATATGAAATATGATAAATCGTTTATTTTTCAGTTACGGTCAAAATTTGAAGATCATTCACTTCATCGGTGCAACTAAGCCGTGGTTGCAACAGTTCAACTGGGAATCTCGTTCAGTAGACGCTCCCGATCACCTTCGGGAGTTCCTGCAAATCTGGTGGGATCTGTTCGTAGGACAGGTCCATCCTCAGCTGGATGTTTCTATGGTGAGAAGCGTAAAGTTTAAATTATCATGGCTTACGGATCACATTAAATGGAGTCGTATTTAATTGAACAAGTATTATTGCTTTTCATCAATGAGATCTTCAGATGTTTTCTCGTAGTCCAAAAATAATTATCTTGATACACGTAGCATCAATATAGAGATTTTTTGGAAAATAGAGATACCTAATAATATAGTGTAAGAAGTTATTGGATGTCAATCCATATGAATATAATCGAAACATAATGATATTGATCTACATTACGATGGATATCGGTTACAATATAGAATAACGTTATGCAATAAGATATTCTGTATTGCGGTCTCTCGACCAGAACCGCAGTATGACTCGTATACAATAAATACTTAGTAAGCCGATCCATTCCTTTTCCAACTGTTGATCTGATCACAACTCATCATGTTTTCCAAGCGTACACAACAGGATTCTAATATTACAGAGGTGAGAATTTTTCGAGAATACAAATACCTACATAGCTTTAATTATTTACAATAAGGAAGTACCGCGCCTGCCAATAGTAAAATATATAGAAAGAATTTGGCTTGAGTTGTAAATATCCCCTCAAGGATCCCCAAGTAACTAAACTGTAATGCTTGCACTTGATGCTTGTGCACTCATGCTATTTATCGCACCTCTTTTGTTTATTTCAATGCATTTTGATACTTGTGTGATTAAAACGTTTCTCCAAAATACTAACATTTTCTAACGTTCCGAAATTTTAGCTACTGGTCGCTTACTGCACGGTTTGATAATTGTTTTGTTTTGTGGGAGTAAAATGGTGTTGGTATTTTGGTGAAATATCACCTGGTTATTTGAAATAAACATACTTTTGATTATATATTCGTAGAATCTGAGCTAAACGAAATTATTCTAAAGGTTCAATTTGAGAGCGTTAATTAACAATATTCATTTGTATGTTTATTTTATAACCTACATAATAATAAGTACCTGTCGTGTTTATACTAATAACAGCTTGAACAAAGTTTTCCGCACTCCATAGTTTTTGTGCTCGGAACTTAGTTCAAGTGTTTGTCTGCATGCGTTTCCATTGAGACGTTTTGTCACTTCAACCGATAGGTTGAGGTGCCGGAAGTCCCTCCGGAGTTACCCCCGCAAGACATCAGTCACCATTACATGCCTGTCGTGGATCCAGAATCTGAATTCCCCTGGCATCATCCCGATGCTCAAACACAAGAAGACTTTCAAAGGCTCGAAATAGATTTGACACAGTACCATGACCCTTGGGCTATTTATGGCGGTCAAATTCCGTCTTATAAGGATGATGCGCCGATACAAACACTCTCAGGGAGAGTAGAGGATCATGAAGAAATGAAAAAATACGCTTGGGAGTATCAACCTCCCTATCAAGACTATAGGTCTGAAACATTTACTCATCCACCTCATAGTTATCAACATTTTGAACACAAACATCAAGATTCTAGTCAACATCATCACGCAGAACATCACAGGGAATCACAATCGCAGCATAGTCATGGACATTATCACGATCAACCTTTTTATAGTCACCAACAGCATGCGCATGAACATCGTCAATACTCACAAGAGTACCAATGGCATTCGCATGAACATAATCAGCATTCATATGAACATCAGCAACATTCTCATCAACATCATCAACATTCACATGACCATCAACAATATTCACACGAACATCACCAACATTCACATGACCATCAACCATATTCACACGAACATCAGCAACATTCCAATGACTATCAACAATATTCACACGAACACCAGCAACATTTAAACCAACATCAACATGAACATCATCAACAATCACATGAACATCATCTTCACCCACAAAAATATAACACACACATGCATCAACATTTTCAACATAAACAAACTCAAGAACAATGTCAACCAGACTCGCATCACAGTCAGGACTATCAACATGACGACAAGCAAGAATACTTTGACCAAGGACATTCCCAGCATTCTCATGATCATCATCACACACACTTCCATCAACCACATGATAGCCAAGACGCACATCAAAAGCATGATTATCAGGATTCTTTCATATCCAGATCTGTTTCCCATAGCACAATTCCCGTACATCACGTTCATATAAATCACGAAGTTCCATATCATGCAAAAGGTAGCGATGACGAAAATATAGATCAGAATGAAAATAGAATAATGAACGGTGATGTATCAGAAAATGAAAACGAATACCACGAGGATATAAGGCCGAGACATCCGTACGATAACTTTTATTTGAGGCACAGAGCTATTATAGATTCGTATGGTCGTAAAATTTGCACTCATGAAGTACCCGCAGCCCCTAAGCCGAGTCCGCCTTCAGACTATGAATGTGAAGACCCACCTTTTTCACTTCCCGAAGAAATCCCTCTCACTAACGGCTATTGTGAGGAACAAGTAAGTTTCACCTTCTAAGGAATAGAGGTAAGTGTAAAAAAAACAGAAATGACAAGCGTTTCGTTTAAATACATTTACAACGATGGAGTTAGTGGATTTGTATTCCCTTTTTTTGTAAATATACAGCTTATAATGCATGCAAAGTTTTAATTTGCACGTTAATTAATATAATAACATGGATGTACATATTTATAGAATTATAAAATAATAGGTTTGTAAAGTTAAAGTTTTTTTATGTTTATGTATAAATATATATTATTTTTAAATGATACTAGGTTTCTACCAGCGTCATACTGTATTATACGTGTAAATCTTCCTCTTGAATCACTTGATATATTGAAAACCGCATTAAAATCCGTTGTGTACTTTGTTTTATACTATGTATAATTGAATACTGACTTATAAGATTTTTTTATCTAACTCAGTTATCTAGAAGCAATTGTTGTTTAGATTTTCTACGGTATGTCCGAAAACAATTTTAATCGTAAAGAATTAGATTCTAGTCAGTATTAAAAAGATAAATGTAATTTTATTGATTAGAGCACAATTGGCAATTCGTTTATACGCTCAAAAAATTCAAGGGTAATTCAGAAATATGCCCATATACTTACATCGGATTATCCAAAACTATTATTATCGGGACTATTTTAAGTTCATAATCAATTTTGTAGAATCTGACATGTCCTTCTTTTATTTTACATGAAATTCATAAGTTTCCATTTTCGATAATGGAATATCAATATAGCCTAGGTACACATTGAACTTTGTCTAATAATAGTGTTTTATAAAAACTTTTTTCAAAAAAGAGAACCGATTTGAAATCGATTTTATTTTTTGAAAAAAGTTTTTATTTCATACTTTTTTGTGATATTGATATTTTTTAATTATTTTATAGGTAATACCAAAAATATTAAATATCTACATAAAAAATAAATCAACATAGTGAAAGTCTTTGGAATAGAGACATAAGCTAAAATTTTACGCAGGCGAAATCGCGGAGAAACAGTTTGATAGAAATTGGTTCACAATTCAAGAAGAAATCGATGAACATTTACAAAGTATTTAAGTGATATCTGATGAAAAGCATATTTTGTTTTGTTATGAAAAGAAAACTACTGATTCGATTTCGATGAAATTTAAATGAGGCCATTAAGCAGTCAAACATAATTTTGAAAATCTAACAACAACAATTGGCCAAAAAAATCTTTGAACATACAAAAAAGACATATATCGCCATTGAACATTTATATGCTCTCCTCTTTTTCGCTTTTGAAGTACGTTAAAAAGTACTTTATTGAAAATAAAATAAAGTTAATTTTCTTATTTCATTGCGTTGTCAAATATCAACGTCTTTAGATTATAAATGATTGAAAGTTACAATTATTCTTTTCAGAGTGGAGTCGCTGGCAACTTGGCACGTGTCGTGCCCGGAGCTGCAAGCACTCAACGTGAAGCAATCGATGAACTTACTCGCCGCCAAGGCTGGGAGGCGGGTAACATTGACTACATGGGCGCTGATTCCTTTGACAATATCTGGGCTAAGATCTCACAAACCCTCAGCCAGCCGAGACAGTCACCGCCTAAACAATCATCTCCGCCTAAACAACCATCTCCGCCTAAACAACCGTCCCCGCCTAAACAACAGTCTCCTCCCAAAGAGGCTCCCGTTGAAGTAGCACAGGAAGCGACTGTCGTAGACGCTGCATCATCAGAGACTGTTCCAGAAGCGGCAGCTGTTGAGCCAACGCCAGTGGCAGCTGTTGATACACCAAAAGAGACAGAAGCGATTAAAACGGCTGCTCCAGTAGCTGAAGCGCCTGCATCTGTAGAATCGGCACCATTAGTTGAAGCGGCTGCAAAAGTTGAAGCAGCACCGGCCCCAGTTGAGGCTGCACCGGCACCAGCTGAAACAGCGCCAGCGTCAGCTGAAGCAATACCATTACCGGCGGCAGCTGAGGTAGCACAAGTACCAGTTGAAACAGCGCCAGCGACAGCTGAAGCAATACCATTACCGGCGGCAGCTGAGGTAGCACAAGTACCAGTTGAAACAGCGCCAGCGTCAGCTGAAGCAATACCATTACCGGCGGCAGCTGAGGTAGCACAAGTACCAGTTGAAACAGCGCCAGCACAAACAGAATCAGCGCCAGTACCAGCTGAGGTGCCGGCGCCAGTTGAAGCAACAGAATCAACTGTAGCGCCACCAGCAGTATCAGCTCCCGTCGAGACAGCACCGGTCGCAGTTGAAGCGAAACCTGTATCTTCTGAGCCAGCATCGGCTCAGGCAGAATCTGCTTCAGTACCGTCTGCCGAAGCTCCCTCTCAAGCCACGGCCTCATCACCCACAGAAACACCAGTAGCACCTGAGGTCCCGATACCAAAAGCCCCAGTTGAAGCTGCAACCAAACCCAAGCCAGTTGAAACTCCAGTCACAGTCGAAGCTGTCGCTTCAGCTCCCAAAGCTTCTACAGAAACATCTGCCACGGTAGATGTTTCTGCACCAGGTGAGCCTATCCCGGCCGTAGCGTCAGCACCGGAGCCGCCGACAGAGGAGAAGACCAAGACTGAGCCCGCCTTACCACTCACTCCACCGGCGTCGCCAAAATCGCCTCAGGAGCAAGTAGAATCCAAATCCCAAGTAGAAGCTGCGAAAGAACCTAGTCCGGTTTTGCCGGTGAAAGTAGAAGCCACTCCCGAGAAATCTACGGAAGCCTCAGGGTGCTCAGATAGTCCACCATTAGCCAACACACCCTCAAAAGATGATGTCCCCAAGTTGCCGGCTGCCAAATGTAAGTAGCCGCTCAAAACGGCGACACGCGCGCGTCATATTAACGGCTTTGCACTCAGATCTCACCGAGTTCATTTGCAGTTTTTTCTCTCTTTTAGACTTCTACTAATGTGTTTATAGTTTAGCTGAATTCGCTTTACGTAGACACTTCTTGAAGAGGTGCACTCGTAAGGCGCGGATCTGCCGATATGTTTTTCTTTTGTGCCGTTTTGCGATGTTTTGGTTTTTATTTTAATTTACTGAGCATACGTTTCAAAATTCGTTGTTATTTCACCCAGCTACCGAGGAGGCAGCGCAAGAGACGCGGCTTTGATAGATCAGGTAATAATAAAAGATTTGTACTTGGACCTACCTTGACCTTGGAAATAGTTTTCGTGTTTGTATATTTGGGTGTATTGTGTAATTTAAGCATTTTGAATATATAATCAGGTCTAGTTACGTCCAAGTTAAAATATAACATGCAAATAGATACATTTATCAGTGACTCATCACCCTTTATCCAAAAACAAGACGAACGAAGCGACTTAACGATTTCTGTGATCATCTCAAATGATCAACGAAGTGGGTATCAAAGCCGTCGGATCTGCTCTGATTATTTAAAAAAACGATCTAAACATTTTAAAGATTGTAAATACATATATATATTTTTTATAAATGTTAAAGGTTTTGCTGGTAAATTCAGAGCATAAACGATTGCGCATGATATTTTATGCACTTTTTCAAATACCATATAACATTTGTTGTTTTATTTGCTTCACATTTCTGTCACACATTGCAAGGAAAATTATTTAAAACATACATATTCATTGTGTAGATAAACAGTCCTCGCACAACCACCGATTGTATTAAAATTGTAGAACTAATTCACCGAATCATTCGCCCCAAGTCGGATGCACCGACTTCACAATAATACTCCTTGTAATGTACACATGGCTTCGAAGCTCCGCCAAACCGACAGTTCTAACTTTCCGCTCGCATCGTTGTGAATTAACCGTGTAGCCATGTTTTCCCTCGACTTTGTTCCAGGCCCTAACCGAGCTTGCTCTATAATGTGACCGCCATACTAACGCCACGTCTAACCAAAAGAGAGAAATAAGGGCGGGATTTGGTTGTGTAGCGGAGGAGCGCCGTAAGGGCGGATGCAAGTTGCAGCTGAAGCCGCCCGCAGTCGCCGACCCATTGCCTACACCTGACAGCGAAGTAGAAGATGCCGCCACACTCGCCACTTCCATCATCGCCAGTGAACTGAAAACTCCAACTGTTACTTCACCCACCTCTGAACCGGAACCCACTTCCCCCCCTGCGAAACTACAGCCGCAGCGCCTTTCCGTTGACGAGCCTGAAGTACCAACGCCCCCTGTCGGGGCCGTATCGCTCGCTCAGATAGGTGTCAAAGCCCCTAAAGCCAAATCGAGCACTGCCGCACAAATAGAATCCTCCGTGACTGAGAAAGCCAGTGAATCTGCCACGCCAACAGACGCTCCCAAAAAGAAGATCGTGAAGAAGGTGGTGAAGAAAGATAAAGAGGGCGCGTCGACCGCGACCGCCGGGGCCGATGCACCGGTGCCGCCGCCGCGCAAAAAAGAGAAGAAGCCCAAAGAGAAATGAGCTCGCGGCTTGCTCCCTTATAGTTCCTCTGTGCCATAATGTAGCCTTACCTATCTAATAATTGTTTATTATAATTTTCGAATAATATGCTATTTGTGTACCGCGTATTTTTTACGACATTAGACGTCTTATTACTCGTCATCACGCCATATCATGTAACTCTTATTTTTTGTTTGAAATTTTATACTCTTTATTATGTTACTAAATATTTACAACTCTATTTATTTTTTAACCGTTAACTACTATTTTGGTTTAAAATTAATTACCAAAGGATGAAACGTATTTATTGAAAGAAAGGTTTTTATTAATTTTTGTATTAAAATGTATTTTGAAGTACCCACATTTTATTTTATTTGTTCGTGATGTGAATGGAAATAATTACCTACTTTGTAGAAGTCTATTGGCTTAAGATTAATTTAAGCTGTTGTTGGCAATAACTATAAAACTTCAAAGATATTCAAAGGATGATACGTAACAGCATCCCCATCACCATAAGTGTAGGTAAGTTTTGTCACAGTTAAACGTAAAAACCCCTTAGATTATATAATATCGTAAAACCTATGGTTTTACTATGGTTATGTTCTCAGCCCGTTGTCGCTAATACAAATACATAATAAGATAGATATTACATAGTCATGCAATGAATAAATATTATTTTAGCGAATACGAATTATTCAGCGAATAGGAACAAGGTTCCACAACTTAAAAAAAATAACTCGTAATAGGATCACTCTGTTAGTTATCGCCTCATCCGTATGTAAATGTATATCTATACTTATATCACACACACTGCTGATTTTCTCCGAAAATATGGGATCGATTGAGTTGAAATTGCAAGTGCAATGGATATAATTTGAAATATGAGAAATCTTCGGTGGTAAACAATTTTATTTAAAAAAATAGAACCGACTTCAATCTTTATTAAAGTGAGAATTAATACTTATCATAAAAGTGACTTAATTATTCAAGAAACTGTTATTGTAATCGTTGTATGATAGTAAAAAGGTACCATGGAGTAGACGCAAATATCATGAAATAAAAAAACCTTACATGATTAGATTGATTTGATAATTGTTTACAATGATAGACTCCGAAACTATTGGACCGATTTAAAATAAAATTACCTACGGGAAACTACAGCTTACGCGGGGGAAATTTTCTATGTTCGACGGGTATGTTTGGGGGTTGTGTTCCCACGTTGTTTCCCTTATATGTAACATTTTCAATGTAAACAACCAACGGTCAAATCATTCGTCTCTAAGATTCTCAAATATTTATGTTTATTATTTTCAAGATTTTAAAATTGTCGAAAACAATAGGCGAAACTTGAACATCCTCCCAATTAACAAAACTACGGCACCTATACCAATAATTTTGAATAATAGCAAAACTTTATATTTCGTGTTTTTCGAGTTTTTTGTATAAACTTTATTTATACCTATCACAAATTCCGCGCCGTCACAAAACACAGAAAATGCCCACTTAAAACAATTATTTTCTTCACTTTCTTTTACAATAATAACTAATAAAATACATCAATCACCTTATATTCTTCAACCATTCACGGTGGCCCAATGGAGATTGGAGGGCAGCCAGAACTAATTATTTATTACGTTGGCTTCGATTTGGTCGAATAGGATTACGAAATTTAATACGATTTATCCATTTTATTTATTTATTCAATCTAACGCTCAACGTCTAATTCAGTTACTGGAATTTAATTGAATCCCATTTTGATCAAGTCGGAACCAATGTAAACTTATAGCCTCTAGAGAATGAGTGGCTGGCATATTCCAAGAAATAAACCCTTTACCTAAATAGTCCATAGTCATAAATCGGTACTGACTTGATTACTTAGTTGTTCACAAAAACAGATAAAGTAAGTATCGACGTTGCAGAGATGTATTCAAATAAATTATTGTATCATAAAGGTTTTGAATAGAAGTCTATTTAAAATTTCAAAATAGTATTCTTAGCATTTTGTTTGATTCTGATGTACAAAAAGATCATTCAACAAAAAGCCTCCCCGGCGGGGAATCGAACCCCGGTCTCCCGCGTGACAGGCGGGGATACTTACCACTATACTACCGAGGATGTAATGAGAATGTTGAAATTAACTAATAAAAATTGTAATAATCCAATATAGATCATGATAATTTAATGTACGAAAATGAAAGTAATAATGAGGAAGTATTTTAAAAAAAGAAACGAAAGCACTAAAAAAGCACCTGCACAAGATGGCTACTCTAGCAAAAGGACGAATGGACCATTCTATCTGTTTCTTTTAACTAACATTAAAAACTGAAATTTGAAAAGTTCGAAACTTAGGTATCAATACAAATACGAAAAAGTACAAATAGAATATGAGTAGTATATTGAGTTTTGAAAACTTATTTATTTTTAAACATGAAAAAGCCGGAGAGACGACTTGTTTGATTTCGGGAACTAATGTTTTTTTTTAAATACTTCCTCATTATAAAAATAATAATAAAAAAAATAAATAAATTTCTTATATTTAATGGAAAAAGAATACTGAAGTTTGAAAGCAAGATGCAAATCATTAGAAGCGACATCTAGACGGTAGTTACTAGTTTATTTGAACTTAAACTTCATGTGTGTCATAGAAATTTCGGTAATAAATGTTAACGTTTATAGATGGCGACAAATTGAAGTCTACTATTTTTGTCAGAAAATCTTCGATAAAAATATTCCTTTTGATTTATTTTAATTATTTTATTTTATCCTACATAAAAGGGGTTTCAACTTTTTGATCCAAGTATATTAGACCAATAGTAGATATCTGTCAATGCTTTTTAATACAGTTAAAGTACACAACAAGAATAAATTCTAATAATTCATACTACCTATCTACTTAGCTACCTATATAGAGTGAAAAAGAAAGCAACTATCGAAAATATGTACCTAAGTACTTATACATACTTATTACCTGTTAATTTCAAATAAAATAATGTATAATGAACAGAATATACTTTTACATACAGAATATACTATTAAGCACTGCACATAATAATACGTTTTTAAGATTTTAGTTATGATAATCTTATTACCCACAGAACGGAAAAAAATACCTATTTTATCCAAGAATAAACAGTCCTATACTTTAGGTTAATTCAGCGCCATCTATCAAATGTAAATCTGATCGCTAGAATATAATGCAGCTAACGGAGAAATTTTTTGTTTGGCAGCGTAGCGAGCGGTGAACGAAACATGAAAGAAAATAAGAACTAGTTTGACGGAAACCACGTTGCGGTGTGGTTGTGTTACAATATTTCGTAGTGGAACGTTTAGTTTAACATTGTTTATAAACAAAATTCCCAAATATATATGAAGTAAAATGTTCATTTATGAATAAAATTCAATATATTTGGACATAGGGGCGTCATAATTGTGTATATGTTACGAATATAGTGCGGATTTGTACATTTTATTCGAGTGTGTAATCTTGTATCTGACTCTGCTGTCTGGGAGAACAGAATCGTTGGTTTTCTCGGACGGTGGATGAAAATGTGAATCAAATATTGTGACTATGAATCTAAACCGATCTTTGGTTGAGATTTGACGAGTAAAGGATACTGCCAAGTTGAACAATGAAGTGGTTTGTGTTATTTCTTATGGTGCCGGTGTGTTTTGCACACCTGAACGTTTACCTGAGTAGCGCTGAAGTATGGAGATTGCTGGGTAAGTTCTGTTTTACATTGTAATGTATCTAATCAATGCATTTATTTATCATAATTTTTGTCGTAAGTATTTGAAAATTGATAACATTAATCTTACCTATGACAAAGATAGTAATCTGTCCATACTAATGAAAATTGTACAGCTGATTTAAATATTTATTGCTACAAGTTTGTTATTGTTGATGAAAGATAACACATTGTATTTGCTTATACTTTCAAGAAAATAATTATTAACTTTTTCATTAGAAGCCTTACATCGGATAGTTTACTATAATATTTTTTATTAGGGCATTAAAAATGCAATAATGACTTAATAAGTAAATATACCTACACAGTCACTTTCCTTTATTTTAATAATAGACGCCCTCTAGTCTATGTTTTAAATATACAAAATAACTATAAGAAAGTATTCAAACATAATACCTACTAGCTACTTGTGTTTTAATATTCGTTAGTAAGGAAAGTTATTTCCTATACTTACCTAATTATTTCATCAGGATTATCATTTATCATTCTATTACAATAAACAGACCTCTTAAGTTACTTATAATCTACCTAAAAAAGTAACAATTTGCCTGTTGGACTTTGTGTTAAGATATAAAAATTTCGCGAATCGCGTCTTCGTCATTTGTCTTATTGGTAGGACCTTGCATTTTCCTATCTTTTGGCAGATGGAGTAGTCTAAACCGCTAACCGATGGATGGATATGATATTTTTTTACGGAATCATAAGACTAGACAACAAGTCTAATTTCTTTATCTTTAAACAAGAAAAATCGATTCGTCAACTCCGATTACACTTCAATAGGTAGGTAAGTACAGTCGCGAGTTAATTTGCCTAGTCTAGTTTTTTTTATTATTTTAAAAACTTAAACACTGTATAAATCTATGGTAATTGCCGTATCGATACAAATATTGTCATGCACAGACTTATATAGTTTGTTAGATTATTGAAAAAGATCCCCTTATTTTTCTTCAAAGATAAATTAGGTAGGTAAGCCATTGATCAATATTTCCCAGCTAATGATATCTTTAATAAAAAAAAAAAACAAAATTAAGGGGGTTGCCATGGACTGATTCGCCGAAAAATAGAAGACAGTGTACTCTAATCTACTAAATTCAATTCACAACATCTTTAATTCTTTTTGGCATTCTAATGAACTCACAATAAGAATGTACGCTAAAAATATCGGGCAAGTTAACTCGCCACTGTACTAAACTCATACGAAAGAGGAAATTGGATTCAAGTGCCCAAGACGGGACTCGAACCCGTAAGTAATCTCGGCTCTGATTGCTGAACTGCTGCATTTTTAATTATTTTTTCTATACTTATAAAATAAACATCAACTATTTTAAAAACGGCCTCGAATTTGACTGAGCGCAGCGCTGTCATCAAATACAGCTTAAATAAAACCCACTTCAAAATATAATAAAGGTTTCATATCATTGAAGCTCTAAGCTGTCACTACTGAACTGAACTGAAACTGGCGTGAATGTGGAGGCTGTTTTTTTTAACAAAATATCTACCTATCATAGTTGTGTAAAATTGTTAATTGCATTATCAAATTATATTCAAACGTCTTTGTTTTTATTTGAAATGCGTCATAGGAATAATGGCTATCTCTAAAATACATATGTAACGGTGTGCCGTACCACCGTTTATTTCGTCCTAGGTTTCCGCATGCAAACTTTTTGTCTTTGATATTCAACATCATTTCTTTTTATAATTCACATATCGTAATTTGAAATTTTCACATATCTAATATGCTCTTCATTAATGTCAGTTCGTAAAAAAATCATCTGGTGTGAACATGATAAAGTAATCATATAAATTGAAATATAAAATTTTATAATAATTAAGTTAATATAATTAAAATAAGAAAATTGTTAATCTAAAAGTATATTTCGTGAAATATCGTCCAAATTTACCCAAAAAAAGGGTTTTTCTTTACCCTTTACTTTATTACCATACAATAAAATCAAATTCTCAAGCTTAGACAGCCTTTCATTCATTCGCCCAAGCATCGAACCCGAGCAAATTGAAAATAAACACCAAGAGAGACCAAATAATACTCAATATCCTATTCCACTCACTTATTACCTGTATTTTATCATTAATATCTCTTCGCATGTGACTTTCCAAAGGTATGTCTGTGTCTCATTTCCCAATATTTATTTAAATTACATTTTTTTTGTTATTTTCTTAACACATCAAACTAAATCGAATAAGTATCTTTAGACAGTTTAATTCTGAATAACTTACTTCAGAATTTACGAATATTTAATATGTTACTCGTTCTTATAACTACCTACCTACATGCTGGTAATAATAATAAAGTGGCGTTTTAGAATTTTTGATTGAAATAAAATGTTATAATAGATTCTATCAGATACGAAATAAGAAACCAACATCATTGAAAAAAAAAATGGTTTGAAGTACCGCTAACTAATCTTTTAAACTTTCCGTCTTTATTTAATCCTGCTCAATATTAATTAGTCGAAAGTCAAAACTAAATCCTTACGAGCCGTCACATTTCTTCGGAATTAAGTAGAAGTGACAGATTTGAAAGGGTCCGTGCGCCAGCGCAGGTAATGCTCTTAGACGTGACGCTTTTCTGTGAATGCGTTTTTGTGTCCTCTCCTATTGTGCGTACCTGCAGTCAAAGTGCTATCCATCTTTGTCAAGAAGCGAACCATCTGCCTATTGTTCTTGCTTAAAATTAGAATTATAATAAACGAAACAGGACAACAGGGAGCATCGGAGTTGTCCTTGACGACAGTACTTAACTTTCAAACGATTATTTCAATATGAAAGCCTTTTTGAACATTATTTATAACAGAATTTTAATAGACACTTATGTCAAGTTTAATGGAGATTTTGTTCAACATTAAACAAACATGAGTTCTTGAGATATAATTTATTATCTACGTTAACATATAAAAATTAACATATCTCACATATTTGACATTATCTGGTAAAATTTCCATCAAACGAATGTCTACGAGTGGCTGCGGGTGCGACTCAGCAGGTATACACTGTACAGTAATTTATTTCAGATGACATTTATGGAGATGCTATGGGCCAAAGCCAATAAACTCGACGCCTTAAACGTGTATTCTGATACGAGGACCATATTTTACTGTCGGTTTGATTGTATAAAATGCAAAAAACATAAAGATTTTATGTCCAGCGGAAAGCTGAAATTCAAAGTTAAACATAAATGTGCGAGGACTTTGGCGCAATATTGTTTGTTTCTTTAAGGATATTGTTTGAGTGGTTTCATCGACTAAATATCGAAGATGTCATATAATATAGCTCAAGATATTGTTTGCAGATATTCGTAAAATAATCTTTACGATGATTTAAAACTAGATCCAATTATATAAATAACTTGGTTGTTTGCTCGCTATTGTCTTCGTATCTAATATTGGTAATAATAGATCATAAAAAGCTTTTCCGACCGACTTTTCCAAGAATTCCGTGAAATTCAAGATAATTAATAATTGTTATAATATTTTGTCGTTTATTTTATCTCAGCCTTACAATAAATGTAATAAATTTAATGTTGAAGTTTAACAGGACATCGATTTCTCGGCTAAATTGATTATCTTTTAAATTACAACATATTTTATATTTTCTATATATACCCAGTATTTCGTGTTTTAGATGGTGTCTTTAAATTGTTTTCTGCCGGTTTTATTTTTATTTCTTTATAAAACAATGCTGATAATAGTTAATGTTTAAGCTCGGGTGCCGGTCCTAGTTGGGGCGGTATCGAACGACAGTATTGTTTATGGTCAGCTACGTAATCGTTCATCTGAATTCCTACTTCTCGTTTGGTCTAAGTGTCAGGAAATAGTTTAATCTTGAATAAAACATGGTTTTGCGAAATATAATGACAATTAATGACTTTATTACCTACTTGTGTGTTCTAATTTCTTTTATTTATACAATACCAACTCCTTTACGCACTTGATACTTTTTAATTAAGCATATTATTTACCTATACAAAATGAAATCTTAACAATTATTAGATCTTAATAGGTTTTTAAATTTTTTTTTTTTACTCTTTAAATCAGTAAAATTCTTAAAAAAGACTTTATTGATGATTCTTTAGCTTTTTGATTTGATGTAAGCTGTTTATTCCCTAACGACGCTCAGTGGGTAGGTCCCTAACCATGCGGATCGATGATCTGATAGGCGTGGGACGCGGGCAGCGTAGGACCATTCGAAATCTATGGAGGAGGCCCATATCCAGCAGTGGGCGTCGTAAGACTGATATAATTATTTATTCCTCGCTACCTTCTTCAACATGCACCAACCTTAATCTGATTAATGAAAGGTGCTTGCGTATATTGTTTTACGGCCCTTGGTCAAGCTTCCTTGATACAGCTCAGTGATTACCTGAACATGACCATACCTTGTTTGTCTAAGCAACAACAATCGTACCACAATTTACTACATATTTTTCAAAACCGTTCTCAGATGAAAATGAAAAGTGCAAATTGCATTACATTCATTATTAAACCTCACCAAAGACAAAAATGTTTAAACATATGTGATTAATGGCCGGCCCCAAAGTTGTAAAGTAATTATTTCGAGGTATCTACATAATAAAGTTATATCTATTCTGTTCAATTATTCGAAATTTATCTATTAATTTTTTGATGTTAATTATTCTACAGAATAAATGGTTAGTTTCAGAACTACATCACATTTTAATTATAATAGTTTAACACCTATCTAATTAAATTATATATTTTTATTACATGACGATTACTGTTGTAGATGAAGGAAAAACGTATAGTTTTTTGAGATTTTTTTGAGAGATTGAAATGTTGATTGGGAGCTTTCTAAATATTTGCCATTAGTACAAGATAATTTCAGCTAAAATAATAAGCTATTTTGCTTTAATGATAAAATTCTACAGATACCACGAAGTTGGGTCACGTTCGATATTAAAATCAATTCAAGAAATATAGAATGGTTTGTTTCGTTACT